GAAGTACGGAGAGCAACAGGCGAAGAATAGGAGCTAGAACTGGACTTAGTTTTTCAGTAAATCCACCGAAACCCCACTCCGAGTTTGCCGGCGTGTGTGCCATGTCATATGAAAGCCACAAGGTTGTATGCCAGTCGACAGTCGCCATGACATTTCAAATTTACGGGCTATGACAAAGTGAGTTAAATGCATTTTGAGAAGTACTCTCGGTCCAGGCAAACACACAGCCCTAGAACTGAAAAGAAAATCCCCAACAAGGAGCTAAAAAATGAGGGAGAGGGCCCAGAGCCAAGAACCAAGAGCAGCTGCATCTGGAGCGGCAATCTGCCCTTTTGATGTTGCCGCACACCCAACTTTTACATATATTTAAAGATCATGTACTTACTAAAATTACAACGCACATACGCTAACACCCTGCACACCACACACACACACACACTCACCCACAAACAACAGCAAGTGTTTATGCACTTCGATTGCATGTCTTTGGGCCCGATGTGGCTCCAATAACCGACTTTCCGTCCTCCGACTTTCTCCGCCGGCTGCTGCTGCTGGTGTTGTTGTTATTTGCAAAAGTTATTCATACGCCACGTTGACAATAGTAGAAAATGCAATTTATGTTGGAAAAACATTGCGTAAGTGCATCTGAGGCGAAATTCAAGTAGCTCCTGCCAGCGCCCCCTTCAGAGCAACGAAGACAGCGGCAGACACAGCAGCTAACAGTGGTGGGGGTTAAGGGGGGTCTAAGAGTTCAGAAAAATATTTTAACTAGATATGAAACTGTAGTTATTAAGCCAGAATTAGATTCATTACTTTTAAATTATATTTATAATTTTTAAAAATTAAATCCCCCTTTGGGAATCCCCTACATCCCTGCTTTTAGACACATGCACATGCTGAGGCTCAGGCTGAAGGCTCAGGCGGTGGCAGGCAGTCATGTAAAAGCGTTGCCATATAAAACATCTAGAAATTCCAATAAAATTTTCATGCAATTTTCCTCACACCGCTTTCACATGCAGAGTGAGCCGTTCCGCCCCCTCGATTCGCCCCGCTTCATGGTCCTTTCCTTTTGGCCAACTCATGGCTTATGCCGTTCCCCCTCAACTTTCTCAACCCCCCAACCTAAGTTAGAGAATGTGTGTGGGTGTGTGTGTGTGTTTGTGGCAAATGCATATCTAAGACACTCAATAAATAAAATAAACAATGCCAAGAAAGTGCCAAAATCAATTGGCTTTCTAAATGTCAGGCAATGTGGAAGTGCACTCATCTTCGAGATGGACTTCTCCTTCATCATGGACATCAACTGGGCCAAGGCCGCAAACAAATAGAGAACTCTTTGGTGTAAACAACAAATTAATTGTGGCTCACCTAACCTCTGGCCCCCAAATCGATGTGCACACATGGAGTCCTTTGAAATTTCCGAACAAAGTTTATGCAGATTGATGGCGCAACGAATAAATTTTAATTTTGGTTCAAATACATTTTAATTTATTCTGCTATTTGTGTGTTATTTTTCTCCCATTTTTTTTTTTTTGTTGGTGATGGCCGTCCATGTAGTAAAATCAACCTTTTGATGTTGCTGCCATATTAAGATTTTCGGTATAAAGTTGATTGAAGCGGGCGGTGTTTTCTGTCGTTTTTTCCTGTGGGCGGCTGACTGGGGGGATGGTCAGGCCAATTTAGCAGCGCTTAGCCACAGGACTGGGTGAGTTGGACAAATTTCATTGGACGTGGCGAAAAATTTCATTTAAAATATATTTTGCACACATCAGAAGTGCGGCAGGCTGCAAGTGTAATTTATGCGTCTTCACACACTCGCACACGCCCAGTGAAAATGTGTAATGTTGACCCGATGCCAGGCGGAGGGATGTCCTGATGGTCCTGCCTGGAGTTGCTAGCTGCTGGATGCTGGATGCTGGCTGGTGGCTGGTGGATGTCCTGCCAGCCATGGCTCGACGCTTTTCATTTTTCTGTTTTGGGGCTAAAATACCAAATTACGACATAAATAATGCATAGATAACGAAATTTATTACATTTCATGTATCAGGCCGGCTGGCAGACAGGCGGGCGAATGTCCTGGTTCTGGTCGTCCTGGAATGGAGGAGTCCTGCTCCTGCTTTTGGGCCACGTCCGGCTTTCGGGTCAGCAAAACTTTTACATCAACCGGTCGGTCGGTCGGTCGGTCGGTCGGTCGGTGTCCAGTGCGGGAAATGTTTGAACGGGCGACTCTGTCGCCTTCTTAATTTATGGCTCGTGTTAGTTTCTCTGATTTGCCAGGCAAAAGTTTATCGAAGCATTATATTGCGCCTGCAACTTGCAATTTAAAAATGCAATTGTGCCAGGGATTAATCGGAGGGTAATCCCCCCTCTCTGCATAAGAAGACAATGCAAATTCATGTATTCAAATTCCAATCAAATTACTCTCGAGCAGTCATTTCTTTTTTTTCGTACCGCTTGTTTATGCTGCGAAAATTAAGTTAGCTGAAAGTGCGCCAAACAAAAAATGCAAAACTTTTTGCGGTTTTTTGCGCTTGGCAGGCGACGTCGCTCCAGCTTCAGATCCGCGTCAGCTTCATAGCTTGACGGCTATGCGGATGCGGATGTGGATGCGGATGTCTTGCTCATATCGCAGCCAGTTGCTTATAATTGCATTTGCATATTATTTCCCTTTTATTGCACATGTCGCCCTGCTTGACATGCCATCACTTCGGGGGAGCCAGCGGAAACCCTTAAACCATTTATTTTTTGCTCCTTCCTCTCTGGAATTTATCCACACCCCCCACCCCACCCAGATTCTCCTTCTCCTTCAGCTTGGACTGGCATTTTTATTTCTGTGAAATGTTTATAAAATGGCGGCACGCTTCCGGCGGTGGCAAAAAATAAGGAAAGGGGAAAGGGGGCATTGCCAAAAGAGTTAAGAGTTAAGCGTCTCTGCTGGCGAAAAGAATTATACCGAAATAATTTGCATATAAATTATGATTGAAGGCGACTGAGCCAAAGGTGTCAAGCGCGTTGACTGAAGCCCCACGGAAGCGGTCTTAACGCTTCCCCGATCCAAATGAATAGTGATAACTGCCCATCAGGAGGTTAGTGAACCACCGATCCTCTGCTCACAGCGATGCAATAAATATCTCGACAACTTCCCGTGCAGACAGACTATCGCTAACTGCTGGGCTGTGTCAATAGGGCAAAAATCACTGTAGCAGTTGCACTGCACTAAGAGAAAATGTTTAACAAAATTGCTTTTAAAAGCAAAAAACAGTGAACGAGTCATAAACTAAAAAATAATAATCTATTTTTAAATCAAAATATGAAATAAGTTGAAAAAGGCATTGTTCTTATTGGATAGACTATTATTTATATTCTTTAATTTTAGTTATTGTTTTTTTTTTTTTTTTTTTTTTTAACCTTACTTCACTTTACTTTGAAATATATATAATGCTCTGAAACATCTTGTGTTATTATACATCAATAAAGTATTAAATAAATTAGGCAAACAATGAGTGCTTTATATTTTTTTAATTTCATTGTTTAAATTAAAAATCTAACTCCAGTATATTCATGATATTTGTATACTATTTTTGTGTGTGTAAAATTTGGTTAGTGTGCCGCAGCAATATCCTGCACACTTGTCAGCAGCACAGCTTCCCATTTCATCGGCAATCCTCGTCGGCAGGTAAACAATGCTAATGCATATGCTTTGGCCCGGCACTTTTGGAGGGGCTTTTGGGGGGATTGCTTCCTGGAGAACTGGAGAGCTGGAGAGAGGGGAGCTGCACTTCCGGCTCGCATGAGATGGCGGTCTTACGTCACAGATCGTCAGCGTCAAGGAGCTGGAGATTTTGGTGGATTGGGAGGATTGGGATGGGCGGATAAATGGTGCACGTGTTTCCCTTTTCAGAAGGGCCCCCAAATCAAATCTGAAATGAATTTACCTTTGTTGATTTGCGACGGCTTTTGCATTTTGGCTTATAACACACAGACGCACAAAACGAAACGAAACGAAACGGGATGAAGAAACTAACGTGGCTTGTTGATTTGCTGGCAAACCCCCAGCGATTGCTCGCTCGGATTTCGAAATGAGCTCAAGACAAATGTAAATATTTTTTAGTGCTCGCTGGGAAAAGGACGAAGCAGGATGCGGACGAGGATGATGGCATTGGGTTGGGTCTTATGATGGATGATTGTGTGCTTCCTGTAGATTTGTAGCCGCCGATAAACTCAATTTGTTTGCTCTTAAGTGCGGGATGAAGGAGGTTGCCAACTGGTATCGAGGCGTGCTCTACAGCATCTCACATTACGCATACGCCGTGTTGCGACTCCCAAATTGCCATCTGAAGACGCCGCTGATTGTCAAAGTTTTTAAAGCCAATACTTACGCTAGTGCGACTCTGAAGTTGTCGTGGGGAGTTTATTTTCAATTTGACGAGAAGTTCGCCTTTGTTGCCCATTTGCACTTTTCATGTCTTTTCTATTGCGTTTATTTGTGTGTTTGTTGTGTGGATGTGTGTGTCGTCTTATTTCCTTTAGTTTTATTAACACAGCCGTCTTTACGACCCGCCCTCAACTTATGCTCCCTGGCCATATACTTTTTACTTATTTCCCAATTATTGTTTATGTTTTCGCAGCCTTCACTTTTACCGCCCAGAACGCGAATTGTGCGCAGCCAAGAAAGATGGATTTAATTGCTTTATTCTCTCTGGAACCTGAACTGTGCGCACGGAAAATTATTAAATGCTATTTATCACTCAGGCGACAACGGAAATGTGTCTCTGACACTTACAAGAACGCCAAAGAGGCGAAGGGAGGTGGCATGTGCAGCTGCTAAGGAAATTGGCAGCATCTGGGAAAAAATTGCACTTGAGGAAATTAAAAGTTGCATTTAAATGCCACGCACGAGCGTAAAAACTAATATCCGCCCTTCAGCTCATTGTTCATCTGAAAGAAATGATTTTTCTTGGTCCACTTTATGTGAAAGATTTAGGAAAACAAATATTGGATAATTTTATTAGTTTAGTATATTTTATTCACATGCAGGTTACCAAAAAAAAATAAGTGTTTAAATGAATACAAGTACAATATACGCTTCAATCTTAAAAGTATGCCACAACATTGTGAGTGCAGTCGCAGATACTGCCAGAAAGTAGGCAAAGATACTCAACTAGCTACGTTTACGCTACGTAAAATTCATGAAAGATATGTGTGCATAACTGGCACAAGATCGGTACTATATCCTTAAATTCTTAGACATATAACACAAACATGGCGGCTATGGCAGCCAAAAAGGACAAGAACGTAGAGGCGTACAGCACGGCGCAGGTTGTGCCCATCCAGGACACTAGAGGTCCTACGGAAAGGGACACAATCAACTGGGCAATGAACACCATGCTGCTAATGATGGCCACATCAGTGCCCAAGCCTCGAGCTTGTTTAAGCGGCACAGTCTCGCCATTTTTAATGCAGAACTGGAAATTAAATTGCAAATATGTAGAAATTATGGTTACATATTCATTGTATTTTACTTACACAATTTTTGGCATGATATCTGGCCACCAGTATGAAGGGCACAGTGAAGATTGTTCCATAAAGAATACCCGCCGATGTGCTGAAAACCAAGACTCCCCATTTTGTGGGCCACAAGCCGAGGACCAGCATTCCAATGCCATAGTAGATCATGCCACTGATGTAGACAGCCTTTGTTCTGAAATGGTGTTATTAAAGATTATAAGTATTGCTATTAATATTGTATTCTGCGAATATCATCATGATAATTCGAAAATGTTAAATTTATGTTTGTTTTTTTAAGAGTTATCAGACCAATAAGTTAAAATTTCCCTTCATAATCTAATGTTGATATGACTTTGGGTGATGAGTAAACTGATTAAGGCGTAAGAAGTGAAAGGAATAAATTGTGATAACAGTGAGGTTGAGATTTCAGTGTTAGTGATAATAATGTTAAAAATGAATAGCCCAGGTTATAAATAATAAATTTGCTCTAATTATACATTTCAATTTGAAGACTCACCCAAACCACTTCATCAGCTTGGTGACGGAAAGCGAGTAAACGGAGCAGGAAAACGCGTAGATGGACATTCCCCAGCAGCCGAATCGAACTCCAGCCTCGTAGTTGAGGGCATCCTGCGAATTGGGAGCAGCTGTGGGATCTCCGTGGAAAACTGCCTCGCCAACAAAGTCCGTGAAGTAAAGGCAATAGGTGACGTGGCCCATCCAGCAGAATAAGTTGGTGAGAGCCAGCATTCGCATGGAGTAGGGCATGATGAAGATGCTCTTGAGATAGGCTTTCAGGGAAACGGGAGCCTCGTAATCCGACTGGGTCTCCACATCCTGCGACTTGTTTTGCTTTTCCAGAGCAGGTGAATATCCATTTTGGTAGCTTCCCTGCAAGGCCTCCAATCTCTTGGGATCATCGCTGGCCATCTGCAGTTCCAGTTGAGTGGTTTCCTGGATATAGTAAATGGTGTTGTTCTTTTTCTTCAGCTCCTTCTTGATGGCTTGCTCGGAAAGAGGTCTCAGCAGCTCATCCTCCTCGATCAAAGTCAGTGGAATCTCACGGAATGTGGTCACTGTGATCAGATAGCAAACCGCAAAGATAATGGTAACCAGGGTGAATACAGTGGGTATATTGCCACCCATAAAACTGCCAATGTGGGTTGTCTCCCAATCGACTCCTCCAATGGCGTATCCTATGGTTCCTCCGAATCCGGCAAAGAGCGCAAACATGGTCATCGCCTTCGGTTGCTCCTCAGGTACACACATATCCAGCAAATAGGTGCGGGCAGGTGTTTGGCAAGTATCCGCATCGAAATCCAGCAGAACCATTCCCAAAATGGTCAGAATCACGGCAAACTTAAAGTCAGAAGCGGAAGGACCTGTGCTCTCACTCGAAACCAAAGCTGCCACCGATCCTGCCCCAGAGGTGGTGAAGTTCAGAGCTGACTCGGCGTAGGTGTATCCTCTATCGCCAAGTAGCAGACCCAGATCCTTGCCATATGGCACCAAGATCAAACCACACATAATGCCAAACGATAAAATCGATATAATTGGACGACGGCGACCCCAGCGAAGTTTGCACCGATCGCTAATACTTCCCAGCAGCGGGGAGACAAAAAATCCAATCAGAGGCGACAGTCCCCAGGTCATGGACATATGTTTGTGATCCACGCCGATCTGCAGCAAGATCGGCGACACGAAACTCGTCTCCGCCGCGTAGGCAAACTCGATGGCCATCGCGATGGCGGACAAGCGGAACATCTCGAACCTCGTCTTCCGGCGGAAGACGTGCGAGTAGTCGCGATCCTGTTCCCTGGCATGGTTCTCACGGGTCTTCAGCATGTACTTGATCATCGGGTTCTTCTCCGATGACAGCTGATTCGCCTGCGAGGCATCCGCAGTCACTCCCACCATCTTGATCGGGATTTACAGATGCTACAAGTATAAGAGAAATATATATATTAGGGTAGGATTATTTAAGAGATTCCTTTTTCTCACACAGAACAGTTTTATTTTAATAGAATGTTTTGGGTTTACTTTAAAAGGTAGAGTAATTACAAGTACAAAACGGTGTTCAGCATTTAAAAAAATTTATCTCGCACCCAAAACTCTTTATGAATATGTCAGACATAAATAAATAAATTTAAATGACAAACAATATATAAACCCACCAGAAATTAATATTATTAAATTTCATTACTTTTTATATTGCGAAAGAGATTTATGATCTGAATTTGAATTTAAAAGCAATCTTCTTAGTCTTCATCATTCTGATTCCAAAAAGGTAAAAAAAAAAATCAGCGTTGTGCCGAAAAATTTCCACTGCTTGGGGTGCAGCTTACACATCTATTAGGTCACATCTGGGCTTAATTCCCTATCGCAATCTTTAATTGCCAAACGGCGGTCGTGCTGTTTTTGATCGCACCCAGAGCCCAGAGACATTGAACCGATTAAACTAGAAACATCTGGAGCGGCACGTCGAAGAAGCGTCAAAGATCTCTGATTAATTGAGCTGCGCGGCCACGGTGCAATGGCGAAATATAAGTATGAAACTGAATTTCAATTCCAATTCAATTGCACTGGAGACCCTCAATTGTGTCACTGCCTATAGAGGGCGAACCCTGAACGGCGGCTATTTGTTTACAAACAAATCCAATCACAGCGAAAGACAAACGAGAATGAATTGTGATTCGGGGGCTTATCGCGGTAGCGAAATCGAAATTGAAACCGAACATATACCCCGAAATGGGTTCACAAACCTACTCATAATCGGAAATAATGCATACAGACTTTCTGCGAAAGATTGTAATGCGAGCTCTGTTTAGAACTTAATTGGATTCAAACTTGGCTAATATCATTTCGTGTAAACTTGGAAACGAGTTCATTAATCCCATTTGCTTTGAGCTTAATACGATTCTTAGTTGGCAAACAAAATTTATTGGAAACTAGTTTTATAATCCAATGAAGCCCGGAAGAAAACGGAAGACGATATTACATATGAAACAATACTTGATTCTTAGTTTATAAATAAATCGCAAAAAAGTCTTCACCCGCATTAAAAACTTTTTAAACAAGGAAACAGTAAATATAAAAAAAGTTTAACTTTCTTTTTAACTCACTTACTTACTTAGCTATAATTAGTTTTGTTTTTTAATTATTTAACCACTCTTATTTAATTCGTATTAAGCTAATATCACACTTGTTCAATCTTTAATCACTAGTTTTCGGTGGTTCAATTTCTCTTTTGCTTGAACTTGACGATCAGCCACATTTTCGAATTATTGCGAGCGAACACTTTTGCAAATTGACGGATCAGCGGTTTATATTGGGTTCAATTGTATCTTTGCGGGCGATCTGTAAACGTCTTTTGAGGCGGCACAAAAACTTTCCTACAACCAAAACGTCGCGTGTCCAAATCGAAACTGAGTCTGGGTCTTCGAATCACCGAGTCTCGGGGTTTCTCTATCACTACTAAAAGTCTGGCTGGCGAGCGCTGTCTTTGAGCCATTGACCAAAACTTATCTGCTCCATACGTGAGCACCAGCAACAATAATAATAAAATCATAATAAAAGCTCGAATAAATTTAAAATACAAAACATCTAATTTGTACGCCGGCAGCCCCCGAGTGTCATTCACATTGTCACATATCCGTGGTAATTGAGACAAGTTGCAGGTCATGTGGGTGTAGGCACAACAATCCATCTCCTGGAATCTCAGATCCCGCATTTCGCCGCAGGTTAGATGACCGGCGCTTTTGCTCTTGAATATGCATAAACTATTCTCCGAAACAGAAAAACAGCGGATCGTAATCAAATCGCCTCAGACTAGGTCAATAAATGTTTAATTAAACGAAAAACAACAAAAAAGAACCAAACAGATGAGCTTTAAATATTAATTAAGTCGCCGCTGGCATTAATTGCCTGCTACTATTAGGAAGTCACTTGATAAGCATTCCGCAGTTGACAACTCTTCGGGGGATTGGGTGAATCATTCGCCTAATGGGGTCAAGGTTATCTGGAAGACTTGAGGAAATGATTTACATTCAGTTATCCATTGGCAAAGTATCATGTTTGCCAAATTCACACGTCTTCGCATGCATTCCATTGTTGCTTGTTTTCGTCGTCGACTCCATGGCGATTAAACTGTTTTGTAATTAACATGATTATTAAACTGCCGCTGCTTAAAATGCATCTCACTTTATTGTGGGGGTGTGAACAGATCGTACAAAAGATATACACACATTGGGCTCAACATATAATATATAGGCTGTTCATTTAACCGTCAATTGAGGCGTAATTGATCTTCTTATTGTGCGCAGGCATGAACCGTGTTATTAGTTTATTATGGCTCCCTTAATTATGGGAAGAGATTTATTTTTATTTTATTCAGTAATATCACGGAACAAAGAAAGCCGTTAAACAGTTATATCACATAGTGAAATATTAAGTCCTGTTAATTATGGAATAATTAATTCACAAATTCTAAAATACAAACAAATAAATTGGGAAGCTCAGTTTAGTTGAACTAATCTAACGACAAATGCTTGGAAGTAAGCTGACTGACTTCATTTATATGAAACTAGCATTATTTGCCATGAAGTTAAATTATATTATTACAAAAATAAATGAGGGGCTTAAAGCTGTAAAACTGATCTTTGCTAATACTTAAAATAGTGGCTGTAAAGAAGTCTTTACTTATTCTTACAACATTTTTTATGTTTCGTTGTCTGGGAAACCCCCAAATTTAATTGACTTTAACTTACAACCCACAACATACAAGTCAGTGTAAAAATAAAGTACTTTTTAAAAGAAACATGTATAATTACAGTGTTTTTAGATACTATTTTTTTAATGGTCTTACCCTTTTTTTAAATCCTGGGTCCGCTGACAGCCCACACTCACCCAAGCAATAACGTTTCCCTAAGTAGTTCCGATAATATTTATTGGTGTGTTAGAAATATGACTTTATTTTATTTGTTTTGTGAGTTTTTTACGGACTTATGTTGATTGAAACTTTAACGATCACTGTCACTGTTTTCCGGTTCGCTTGGGTAATTCACTCACTGACTCGGTTTTGTTTTAGTGTCAATAAATTATAATCCGTTAAAGTTTTTCTCTTGCACAAATTGTTGAACATAAAATAGATTTCAATTTTCTTCAATTTCGGTTGCTTCTGCTGTTGTTGCTTGGAGCGGGCGTGGGCGTGGCAGTTGTGGGCGGGCGGCGGTAACGAATTCACTCTCATAACTTTACCCATGCAGTTGGTGCTGGCAAAAGGCTAACGAAATCAATTTTTGCACCCTGGTCTCTGTCCTCCTGTTTTTGTTTGCCGCGGAAAGTTGTTCCGCACTCTCTCCCGAATCACTTGCACTCCGGCGAGTTATTAATTTTTTTTTCGTTTTTGGATATTTCAACTATCTGGTCGATGCCCGATGGATTTGTTATTCGGTTGATTTTCCTTCTATTTTATTTTGCTTTCTTGTTAAAGTGCTGACATTGCCGCTTGTCGAACGCGGCAGCTGTTTACTCCGATGGCCTGAACGCAGCGAAGATTTTGGCAAGACATGAAAGTGGTCGTGGTGGTGGTGGTCTTCTGACAATTTCCCGACAAACTACGCAATTCTTTGAATTTTGTCCCCGAATCGATACGAAATGGAAAATTTATGTTCTATTTTTTGCAGAATTTCTTTCGGTGCCTTTTTTGCCGCAGCTACGATGACTTTGGTTTATTTTTGGACTGGCGAAAGACTGGCTGATGACGACTGCTCAAGATGATCTTGGTCTGCTCTGGTTCGCTCGGCGACTGAATGTTGTGCCTCTGGACGCACCAATTTATACAGATACAGCATATGTGGCGGGAGTTGGCGAATGCCCACAGCTCTCTCGCATCCCAAAACTACGCTCTATCGGGTCTCTCGCATCGCGATTTTCCCCTCCGATCGAGGTCTTATCGGGTCCGGTCGGGCCTTTCCTTTCTTTGTCTTAGGAGCAGTGGCCACACAGCGAGAAAAGATAATATTTATTTCTATTCTGTTTTGACTTATCAAAACTTCCAAACAAATGTTCATATATTTTCAACGGGATTATCTTTAGCAAGTGCGTCATAAAGTTTTTCAGTTATTTATATATTTTGGTTTAAACATATCAGTCATGGAAAAATTCAACATAAAACTGGAATTTCTTATCTTTTATTTAGACGATTCTTTAACAGAATTGTTTAATATATTATGCCAAGTATTTTTTAATAGGTAAATTTAGATTGTTATGGCAAGAGCTTCTCTTAGAAAATTAAAAGTTGAGTTCATTTTTATTACTATATCGTGAATTCAAACTATTAATAATAATAATATCTCTTTAATTGCTTTTAAGTAAGAGGTAACTTTGTGTTTTTAATGTAATTGTTCAACACAAATTCCTTACATTTTTTTCTCTGCACACAAATCTTATAGCAAATATTGATGTTGATATTGATTGTTTTTTGTTTCGCCTCAGCTCATTCGCAATGCATTTTATCTGACGACATAGCAGTCGATGTGTAATTATGGTAATTAATAATTAGCATTAGCCCAGTTCCTGGTTCTTGGGGCAGTCTTTCGCAATATTTAACCAGGCCCTGCCGCAGCTGTTTGCAGATTCTATGCAGCTGAGTGGCTGACTATTGGCCCACCTGAATTTCAGGCCACAGGGAACGGTGAGCACATAGGAAACTTGTTTCCCAGGCGACGACAGGTTTCAAAGCATCGGCATTCATGGATGTAGTAATATGCACAGTGATTCTCGTCTGATTTTCCGAGGGTGGAAAATCCTAGATTACACTGCCCGCATAAGCTGGGAAATTCCACTTGATTTCGAGTGTTGGCTTTCGAGTCTATTTGCTTGGCTATTTACCTTATCACACTTGAAGTGTGGACGCTCGGTTATCAAATCTCAGCGAGACACTTGAAGAGGCGATTTTGTCGAACGGCCATAAATAATTGCCAATGATATTTTAATAATCATTTATCGATCACATGAGTTTGGCATTGAATATGCGTTCTACTGCAGATTGCGGCTATAATTTCCTTCAAGGTGTCAGCATTGCTCAGAAGCCAGATAATTGCATATGCAAAAGAGATCATTGTTATAAAGTACTAGGAAGAGGTATTTTTATGCGCTAACACGTTCAATTTCTCACCTCAGATTTGTTAATGTTTGAACTAGCATTTAGAATCTATTAACAGACGGAACGGTATAAGATTCCGTTGACGTTGGTTTATCTCGTTGCCAGACAATAAACATATTCCAAGTCAAATTATACATTTAGATGCCTTCAAAATGGCAATGTGAGCCGCAATCATAAAACAGATATTAAAGTATATCGCGCAGGTGTTTGTTTTTGTTTTGACTCCCGTTTAAGCCAAACTTTCCATCTCGTTTTCGGCCTCATCAAGATGCTAAAATATTCTCCGCGAATAGGAATGACAGGCAATTTCTTGGCCTCCCGTCTTTTTAGTTTACTTATGTGCCAGCTGGATTGTTCAGATTCAGATTTGGATTCTCAGATTTCGAGGGTTGTGTTTGCATTAGCTCGCTTTATGCCTGATGAATCGTTGACATGAACTATTAGCGGAAATCCGCGAGTTTTTTCAGCGACAACATCTCCAATTGAAGCGTGTGTGTGGCATTAAAAAAAGCTCTGCGAATTATGTAAAAAAAAGTGGTTAAACCTAGTCGGGCGGTGCGTTTAACAAAACCACTGGGTGGTGTCACAGCGGTTTTGGGTCATTGACTTAACTAACTCCCACTCCCATTAGGTTCACTCGAAAAAAATATTATTCCACGTTGCTTAGGTGACTATTGCACTATGTAAATATTAAGTAATCTTATCTGTCAGACGAAAACTATTATTTTGTGCCCTACTAATACAAGCACCCGTTTTATGACGTCTGTAAATGTGTCTTAAAAATTTATTACACTTTAAACATGCTACACAAATAATGTTTCCGGAAAATTTCTAGTAGTAAAGCGATTATGATTTTGTTTTGAAAGTTCCAGCACATAAATATTTGCATAGATAACGCTTTCTACTATTTTTAAACCTTCAATATTAATATGCTAAAAAAAGCATTTTTTTTTATATTGAGCCACAATTATGGGTTATAAAGAGATAGGTGAGCTATATAGTTTTATGGGAGCAATCTTTTCAATGAACTTACTGCTTCCATTTAGCGATAGACGATGCAGAAAGTCATGCTGTTTTGATAGCGGAAAGCCGGTCATTGTTATCAAGGTTATCACTGCGACTGGATCTTCGATAAGCACTGGCAACATTTCTCGTTTGTTCTCTTATCTCCATAAATCTTTTTGTTTGGCCAATATTTAACCTAAGGAAAGTACACAGCAACGGATGCGAATAAATAAAAAGTTAAAAGCATTTGATAAGCTACGAAAAACAAAATGTCTTTAGTGGAATAAATAAATTAATTGGGATTACATTTAACAGTTTTATCAGATTTGAAATGTTTAAAAATCGGTTATATTGGTAGATGACGCAAAGCTGGCTGCTAGATAGCTTCGAACAAGGCAGCTAATGATGCAGCGATCAGCTTTTTGTTTGCTAAATAGTATAAGAGATGAGTGCCTAAAAGAAGGCAACCAAATTTTACCTTTTTTTTAACCACATAAAGAAACCATAAATATTAGAAATCTGATAAATCATTTATTTTTAAATCAATTATTCCCAATTTGACAGAAACATTTGTTGGCCTTGAACCCTGCTTGTAGGTATTTTTCCCTTTAAAACAAACATTGCCAAAAATGAATTTTAATTAAGCACTCAGGGCGCACAAATCAAAGAGTGGAGACCGCCCAAATCCGCTTCGGACTTTAATCAGTTAAATTGACCGGCTGATTGAAGACCCCCAATAAGTCTCTCTTGAGCGAAACCCGGGCTTTGAGTGGCGGAGGCTCTATAAAAGGAGGCCACTGCTCTCCGCTTTACTTCAGAAGCTTTTGTCCAAGAAAGGGGAGCAGACAGCCGAACAGAAGGGGAATAAACAAACCTAGATAAACACCGATTCGAAGGGAAATGTGGATGGAACGGTTCTTGATCGGCGGTGTTGATTTTCTGTGATTTAATTTCGCGCAAACAGTGAAAAATTGAAAAGTCTCGCACGAAACGTTGTTGTTTGATTTTAAAGTGTTTGTTTCAGTATTCGTCGGTTGCGAGTTATTAAGTGTGCTTTTGTGTCCATGGTTCCGATTGATAACATTCTTCAAAATCACGTCTATCTCATCCAGGTCAAAAAATACTTAAAAGGTATTAATAGTGAAATATTTATTACGGGGTTAGTGCCTTGGCAAACAATTGGCCCCTTCAATTGCCATCGGATAAACATTAATATACAGTTTGCTGAAATCGTAGTATGTGATTGCATCAGATGAAAACTGAGCTAAGTACAGGGAAACTTCTTCAAAGATTTCCTTTTAAAGTTAAAAATAGTTTTTTACTTCAGTAAAACTTTTGCCACAAAAATATATTATATATTTTAAAATTCGTATTTAATTCTTATTGAAGTCTTTCATTTATGGTTATTGGTTTGCCTTAAAATGATTTTACTGTATTGCAGACAATTTGGCTCGTGCCGCCGTCCTGCAATTCAGCGTTTTAGATTTCAATAATTCGGAGCGCTGCTGTCGGCGCCAATTTAAACTCGAATTCGAGGAGCGTCTGGGAATGCTAGCTGCTCGTCTTTAAATTTTTGTTGGCGTTCTTATCTTCTTTCTAGCAACGCATTACGATGAAAGATTTGAAAACGGAGAACCCAGCGAGCGCCAGTCTCCCGAAACCGGAGACCAGCAGGGTAAGTGCAATCCCAGCAAATCTCTTAGGTTACTTAAGAGTCTGATGAACGAGAACTACACTAAAATAAACAACAAATGGAGTCAATTTAGTATAAACAATTTTAATCAATGAAAAATCTTGATTGATTTGGTATAAGGCCCACTTAACTGGTTTGTTCCAATACCTTGTTCTTATAAAAAAAGAAGGATCAAAATATCACAGAAAACCTTGTTCACGTTTATAATATTTAATAATTATATATAATAAAATCAAACATTTTGTTTTAATATTTATGAACGTATTCACAAAAAACAATTATTTATATTTATATATAATATATAGGTAACATTTCCTTTATTTCAATGAAAATCTTATCCCTGAATTTTGCACAGTGTTGCAGCAGTGGCGAGGCGCTGCTAAGGCCATCCTTGGTGCCCATGGAATTGGAATCGTCTGAGCTGGCGGCGGATCAGAAGGCCCGGGACAACTGGGGTAATTCGCTGGAGTTCCTAATGTCCTGCATCGCCCTGAGCGTGGGATTAGGCAACGTGTGGCGCTTCCCATTCACGGCACTGGAAAACGGAGGCGGCGCCTTCCTAATTCCCTACCTCATCGTCCTGTTCGTGGTGGGAAAGCCGATTTACTACATGGAGATGCTGCTGGGCCAGTTCTCCAGTCGCGGAATCGTGCAGGTCTTCGACTTTGCACCGCTCATGAGAGGTAAGCAGATATCGAAATCATTTAATTCCGAAACGGATACATCAATTAATTTCATTTAATTTGCACAACAAATAAATATCTTAACTACAACTTATATATAAAAAAATTAATTTAAAAACATGTTTACATTGAATATAATCCTTTATTTAATTACATAACAAGTAAATGGGTTTTAAAAAACTTCAGTTCTGGTACCTCCATCATTATAATAATTATGTTTATTTTTTTTTTGCCTTAAATTTTTATTTACTAAATATTTTCTCAAAAGTTTATTCGATCATTGGTATTCAAACTTACTTACTATTATTACTAAACACTTTTTGTTTATTTTCCAGGTGTGGGCTATGCTCAGTTATTGGCCCTCGGGGTCTTGGCCACTTACTATGCCTCGGTGATGGCATTAACGCTGCGATACTTCTTCGATTCCTTCGCATCGGAGTTGCCGTGGAGCAACTGCCGCCCGGAATGGGGTAATGGGTGTGTGAGTGCTTCAGGAGATCAGGTTCTTCAAGGTCAGCTGTCGGGGAACTTCAGTTCCTCCACGCAACTCTACCTGCAACGCGTTGTGCTAAATGAAACCGATTCGCTGGAGCACGGAATCGGTTATCCGAGTGGTAGTTTAACTTTGATGCTTGGGATTTCCTGGCTCACAGTCACACTGATCATCATTCGGGGAGTTAAGAGTTCAGGAAAGGCTGCCTATGTTCTGGCCCTCTTTCCATATGTTGTGATGTTCATTCTGCTTGTGAGAGCTTTAACTTTGCCAGGAGCCTACGATGGCGTCATGTACTTCCTGACTCCACAATGGGGAAAACTCTTGGAACCAGAGGTTTGGTACAATGCAGTTACCCAGGTGTTCTTTTCCCTGGCTGTTTGTTTTGGCGTGATCATCATGTACTCCTCATACAATCGATTCGGACACAATGTCTATAGAGATGCCAATATTGTGACCACCTTGGACACATTTACCTCGCTGCTATCTGGAGTGATTATCTTTGGAATCCTGGGAAACTTGGCACATGAATCTGGCACCAAGGATATTGCCAGTGTGGTGAAGGCGGGTCCTGGATTGGCCTTCATCTCCTATCCAGATGCCATTGCCAAATTCAAGTTTCTGCCGCAGGTCTTTTCGCTGCTGTTCTTTGCCATGCTTTTTATGCTGGGCGTTGGCAGTAATGTGGGCATGGTCAGCTGCATTATGACGGTTCTGAAGGATCAGTTGGTCAACTTGAAGTTATGGATCATCGTGGTCTGCCTGTCCTTAATTGGATTTCTTGTGGGTCTGATTTACATAACTCCCGGAGGACAATATATAATCACGCTGATGGACTTTCATGGAGTGACTTTTGTCTCCTTGGTTTCGGCCATTTTTGAGCTATTTGCCGTGGGCTGGATCTACGGTAAGAAAAAAATTATTAAAAAATTGTTATTGGTTGCTATATATTTATATTAAATAAATTTGGAAGAAGTTATTAAAATACTGGACTTAAAATTGGAGAACAGATTAATATATTCAAATTATTAAATTATTTTGTTTTAAATTACTTTAATATTCCTTTAAGGTACAAAACGCCTTTGCCGAGATGCCGAGTATATGCTAAACATAAAGACATCTTATTACTATAGGATCTGCTGGTCCATTGTCACTCCTTTGGTAATGGTAATCATCCTAATCTACAGCTTGCTCACCATGCGACCACTAAGTTACAATGGACAGGAATTTCCACTTTCCTACAGAGGTAAAATAAAATAATTATTGTTATTAATTTTAAAGGGTAATATACCCTTCAAATACTCTTTGTTTTAGTATTTGGCTGGTGTGTCTCTGGTTTCATAATTGGCCAGCTGTTCTATTGGGCATTTTATGCCAACTGCAAACAGCCAAAAGGATCGCTAAAATGTCGCATTAGCAATTCAATTAAGCCGCATTCCGATTGGGGTCCTCTTGACCCGAAAAAGCTGATGGACTACCAGATGTTCCTGCGCCACAAGGATGAAAAGGACTCCAGGGACATAAATCGTCGTTGTGTTTGCCATACAGCCGGGGATCGGATTTTTGGCTAAGACGGACTTCTTAAAAAGTTGCTGAATTTAAAGCATTGTATTTATTCCTAATTGGAAGTTTATACGACAGCTTGTTTAGTTGTACTTAATATATTTTATACACATTTTAAACTTTTATTTATACAAATTGAAATCAAACAAAAATCAATTAATTCAAAAGTTTATTTTTGAGCAATTCCAATTGCTGCCAGTTTGAAGTTTCGGTTTCTCGTTTCTGCAGTGCCAGGTCTTTGTTTTCTCATTTGGGCAGACGGCAACAAATTGCTTCGACTGGCATGGCCCCGTAGGTAAGACAATTTTATCTGAGAAATTTTCAATATTTAAAACTAACAATTAGCAAGGCTGCCCAATCACTCTTTGCTGCATTTGTCTGCGTCTCCGAACGGACATCTCACTGCACAGACATTTATTTGAGTTTCAATTTGTTTTGCAAGTTTGACACACTTTGCGTTTAGTTTTGCCATCATTGTTGCTGCTCTTGCCGCTTCTGCTGCTGTCCATCTGGCCATCTTCATTCGCCATTGCGAGTTTTGTTTGCGGCAGTTGAAAATTAATATGTCGGTCCTCTGGACCTGCAAATGTCTTAATTAAAAGTTATTTTGGTTATTCCTTTTTTCCTGTTTTGGCGGTTTGGGTGGCCAGAACCCCTTTCTGGTAGACAGCTAAATGCGTTTTAGAAAATGCACATAGAATTGTCAAGGACAGTCGTTGCGTTTTGCTTGACATTTGAGCTTAACGCTGACAGTCGCATTAAGTATACGCCGCGTGTGCAGAGCGAATGCACAGAGACAACGGCAAGGAAATTAAAAAAGTTACCCTCTAAATGGCTTTCGCTCTGATTTCACTGCGAAAGGTGCAAGAAACAATATCAACGGGGAAAAAAACTTGGCAACAACAAGCAACTAACAAGCATTGAAGTTTAATAAAATCCTCCTTAAAAGAGACTCTCCCTCTTCTTCTTCTTCATTCTGTTCCTCTTCTTCTTCTTCTTCTGCTCAGCACGGTTGCAGCTAATGAAATAACTTTGTGGCAACTTTTGCCTTGCTGGAATTTGCTTAAAGCGCAAATAAAATTGCCGAGATTGCAGCTACTCGCAATCAAAGGCGCTCGAAATATTTAAGCAGCGCGGGTAAATAAACTTTTGGCTTTAAGCCGCTTGCCGCGCAAATCATTTACAATAAGCGGAAATAATTTGCCGAAAACCCAGTGGGTGGTTCGGCGGGCGGTTTGTTGGCGAAGCGGTGCAGTGATGCACATAACCGAAAAAGAGGAAACAATTGAGGGCAATTTATTAAACGGGTGCACGGCTTGCAGCGGACAGTCGGCGGGGATTGAGGATTGGGGATCGGGGATCGGGGATTGGGGGAGCATCAAAACGAGTACGAAAAAAATCCATGCGGGTGGGAACATAAAAACCGGGAATATAGGGCAGTCGCGGAATGCTTTAAACTTTCATTTTCGCAGACTATCAACCATGAATATTTTAATAAAACTTAATGAAAAGCGCTGCAATAACGGGTAGAACGGTGAGCTCCTTAAATATTTGCACAAATAATTGGGGAATTGTTTGGGTATGAAATTAAAATGCAGGCCTAAAATTTGTATACATTTGGTTGGGAAAAATTGCATCATTAGTTCTGTGCTCTCTGGTGTTGTTCTAAAATTGCTATAATGTGTTTGTGATGTAATATCAGAAGTTTAGAATTAAATATAAGTTAGGAACTGTATATCAGAAAATTAACTTTTTTTATTCCCCACCTTAAATGCTTTTATACTTTTCCTTTAAGTCGCAGGACCTTGTTAAAGGCTTTGTGTTTTTCAGGTGACCAAAGGAGGTGAAGTGCTGTTCGCAGCGGGAGTGCGAAAGCTGCTCGTCATGCGTGCTGGCAGCGTGAATCGTTCTGTGACGTTTTTAGCGTTTTTGTTTTGCACTCTGCCAACTTCAGGGTCTCGGCAGGAGCTCCTACTGCCACTCCTCTGCCCCCGAAATCCTTCTCCATCGTCACCGGCAGTGCAGACAGCGTCTACCTGAGAACGTGAGCCGCTTGAGTGATTCACCTGCTCGCCGACATTTGCATTTTGCATGCCGGAGCGAGTCCTGCTCCTGATGGCGGAGGTCCTTGCTGCTGGTAATGGCTGTGACAAGCATTAGGGAATTATTTTAGAGACCTCGCATGTGGCGGCCATTAAAGCAGCTGCCGCTGACGATTTGATTTGTAGGCCACACACCACACACACACACTAAAAACCCAGAAACTGTCCAAAAAACATAGCCAATGCCAAATGGCGAATGGCGAATGCAAAAGTCGACGCCAAAGCCGTCAGATGCAAAAAGCTTGCCGCACCTTTTATTGTAATCTGCATTTAAGTGGCTTTCTTTTGTGCTTCTCTTGGGGTTTGGGGAATTTACTATTTTTTCTCGATCTCTTTTTTTCCTTTTGATTTGACTTTGTGCACATTTTTGCACCTTCCAATTTGGCGCACTTTTCTTGGCGACCATTGGCAGCAATTTTTCGGCTAACTGCCGCTCGTTTGAAATGCTAATATGCAACTTTGACGCGATTGCCGAGCGCCGTTTGCCATTTTGCCGTTTTGCCGTTTTGCTGGCAATTGCCAGACAATTTTATTTTCGTTACGCTTATGGGCGAGATAAGGGCCGGATGCAATTTTCCCCACCAGGGAATCCGAATGGATCTCGACCGCCTTTAAAGTTTAGCCCAGTTGCTTTGGCCGGGCTTTAAAAGTCGTTTTGGCCGCTCCTCCACTCCGTTTGCCAGTGCTCGTCAAACTGTAATTCTGAAATTCAGACTGCAAGCGAATTACTTTCGGCATCCGGCAAATTGATTGCCATCTGTGGGCCGTAACCCGCCCCCTTTCTCTTCACATCGTCCCCATTCCGCTGCAATTCTCATACAATGCAGCCTTTGGCCCGAAAACGCTTCTCCACCTTCTCCTCCGACCTTTGTGTCCTTCCTTTCCTCTTTTTAAACTTTTCTTTTCTTGTTTTCTTTTTTTTTGTTGTTTTTTTTTTTTTTTTTTTGAGCATTTCCAGTGCATGCAAATATACGTGAACGTAAAAATTTCCATATAAACTGCAACTCGCTCCACGGCAATTCAAGTGCAAATATGTTGGCATGCCGCACTTGAGTGTCAAGTTCCCGGCACATGAAACGCAATTGTTATGAATTGGCCGGGCAAGGCGACTCGGCCACGCCCCCCGAACACAACAAACGAAAGAGCATACAAATATATATATGTACCATATACATATAGAAATATGGTTGCACATAAGAAGGTGTTGGGGCAGAGGTGAGCTCACAATATGCAAATGCAAATGGATAGATCAAACAGACGTCATCACAACTGAATGCTGATTGTTTGCCGGCATTTAAAAGCAAGTGCCAAAATTTATTTCCACTGTCCCCAAAATAAATTGAGTGCCTGGACAGGAATCCTGGGTGAAATGCGAAGCTCTCTGAGTGAGAGTTTATTTTAAGAATGCTGTTTACGGCGCACAAAATTGAAAAATCAACAATATTAGTGAGTGACACGTCTTAAGGAATGTAAGGGCTTGTTCGTTTGAAATGAGGTTTGACAAAGAAATTCAAGAAATGCTTCATAACTAAATTAAAAAAAAAAATAATTTCAATTGACCAATAATTTTAAAATATTTTGCATTCTTTGAAAAATATTTTATTGGTTATTTTTGTCTTCGTTAGAAACTTGTACAGATAAAATATCAAAAATAGGGAATACATTTTTGGCATTTTTAGAAATACATAAATATTTTTTACATTTTTACTCACACCAAAGATAGCAAAAACCACCCTTTCTTACAAAAACATTAATTTTAGCCAACTGTCAATTACAATTAATTTGTATATTTTCTTACAAAACATTCGAATGACTTGGAAGTATTTGTTTTGGCTTTTTGTCTATCGACTTAAGCTTGGATTTATATTTAGAGCAAGAGTGATTCAATTGTCGACCTGAAAACCAACAAGTTAGCCAGCTCGAGTGCGCTTGAAAACAATAGGCTTTTAGCCTGTATAAGCGGCCAACTGACCAATTTGTTGTTCCGATTCCCAGCTTAACGCCGACAACATATGGCCCCTATCAATCGGTTAATGCCCAGCCGCATCAAGGAGCTCCAGGACATGGGATCCTCCTCCACAAGGTGGACACTTGTTTACTCCGATTCCAGATGCATTGTTTGCGCCTTTGTGCTGTTATTGTTTGTGTCACCGGCTGGATCCGAGTCTCAGTTCCACTCGGAGGGGCAGTCTCTGCAGTCGCTGTGTCTCAGGAGCTAAGCTTTAGCTGAAGGAGAACAAGTGCAGCTGTCAGAAAGCAGTTTACTGGCCAAACGCACTGGCTACAGGAGCTGAAATAACAAATGGGGGGCAGTGGAAAAGCGGGGGGGGGGGAGGGATAAAGGGAAGGGCTTGGGAAAAGCCGGGGAAAAGCGTTGGGACAGCTGCAACAGCTGGTTCCTGCTGCTGGTTGCTGGTTGCTGGTTGTGTGATCCTGGCCACAGAAACGTTGATTGGCCAGCGCCGGAAAAAGAAGTTATAACCATCAAGGCGGAAACGGATGTGGCACAGACGTTTCCGCTTTTCCCCAGTCAACTGCACTCTCGCATACACATACACATACACATGCACACGCACACCCACTCCAAATTATATTTCAGTCCTGAACATGCAGTGCATACTTTTGGCGTAAAACCCTTTCCCTCCTTCGTCCTTTCTGTGGCAACACCGCACAATGCCTGTCAAATAAAATCATTTTGCATTGCAGAAATACAAATAGCAAAAAAAGGCAAAGGGGGAAAACGGAAGAAAACGGGGTAAAGGGGCAAAGGAAAACTGAACTGCGTTTAGCGGCAAACCGCAAGCACTTCTAATCAAAATATTAAAGAATTTCTTTATGGCTGCGTCTGCGGTTTCCTCTGAGCAGAAAATATTGAAATTCTGCAACTTCCGAGAGCGCTGCCTTCTAATTGAATGAGCCGATGTCTTGGACTTTGTTGTGGCTTTCCGCCCACATTGTTCATTTGCGGAGGATTGCATGGGGATTTTTCGGGTGGGCCATAAAAATGGCAACACGTGCTCATAAAACTAACATTACACGCCGCTAGTTGGGCACTTCC